TCGCAAGAGTTATTATTTTTTAAAGGTATTTTCTCAGTAACCTACAAAATACATGTTGGTTTTTTTGGTACTGAAATAAAGAGAAAACCTTGAAATATATATTTATAAGTCTTATTTGTAGTTTTTTTATTTTATAACCTTCAAAGTGAAATAAAACGTGATGTTACTCTCAAAAATTATTTTGAACATTTCTTATATATGGTCGATCACTCCACCCTTAAATACATCTTAATTTAAAACTTTATGTTGATACATTTTTAATAAAGAAAAAAATGAAAAAAACAGTTTTATTTAGAGAATTGTTATTTGCACCTCTCCCGTGACTAAGTGTAGTAATGTGACAATGAATGGCTTTAAAATGTGATCATTTTATTGGTTCATCTTTGTCTTATTCATGGGAGGGTGTGAATAACAATTCCCTTTATTTATTATATTTATTTTTATATATGCTTACCTTATTTGTTGAATATTTGTTCAAAAATATGATTTGAATTTAATTTCATTATTGTTATATTTGATGAGAGCAATGCACTTTATATTAAACATGTATAAAAATTTTATAAAACCATGGCTCTTGTATATGTTGTATTTTAATCTCAATAAAAGTATGATCTAAATAATTCTTTTGACCATAAATAGATGTCCTTTGGGTAAAGGTTATAACCTCTTCTGCTTTATCAATATTTATTACTTTTTTGGATCATGCTAGTAAATATGATGTGATCTATATATTGCTGAGATCAAATAAATATAAGAAATAATAATTAAATGGTTAATTAATATTAACTAGGGGTAAGTAAAAAAGGGGTGGACAACTCAATGTTACACATAGATCTGGTGAATCCAAAACTGTCACGCACTAGCAGTCGCAGGACATTGCGGATCTACAGGGGGTCAAGTGTCACTCACTAATAAATTTTTTTTGATCAACACGGAATTTTATATGAAAAAATGAAGAAAAAAATCACACTTTCATACACAAACTTGCCTGATTTAATCAAATTGTTACTTGAATCATAAAAAATAACAAATATATGAAAAAACCTTTATTTTGATGTATTTTTTGCCAGGGTAAACAAATACCACTAAGCGATAATCTTAACATGAAGTTGGACTACCAGTTCTATAAGTTCTATAATAATAATAAATTAAGAAATTGGATAACATGCACAATTTCACTTTGGGCTTAAATTTTTTCATAATAATAAATTCAATAGTTAAGTTCTAATTTCCAACCTTTAAATTTTTATTTTTTTAAATTACATAATTTGTTTATAGAAAAGTATTAACTTCAAATTTGCTTTTTAAATATTATTTTCATAATAATAATAAACATTTTACCTAATAATATTAATATATTAATATACATTGCTGGATGAAATAGAAGATTGTATCAAACAAAGTTTATTTAATATTTTCAAACAAAACCAAATTCGTGTAACAGACTCTTTTCAAGAATGGCTATTAATAAAATGGAATTAATTTGGTTTTTTTTTTAAAGGTTAGCTTCATTAATTCACAGTAGCATTGCTCAATTGTTGCCATCTTTGTTCCAAGCAAGTGTTTATTTTCAGATGCTGAAAATTTAATTACATCAAAAAAATATGCTCAGAACCTGAAGTTGTGAATCAATAATTATTTGTAAAGAGGAATGCTTTATATTGCAATATTTTTGTGTAACCATGATATTATTTATGGGTGGATCTGCGCATAACCTTGGTGTGGTTTTTTACTAAGTCCTTCCAGGACAAATGAAGTCATTTTGGGCAGTTAGTAACACTGTGTGGAAATTTATCCTCATGTAATTAATTACTTGTTCCAGAAGAAAAAATGTTAATGTTGAAGAATTTATAATTATTTACAACTAAAATGATTTTTGATTTCTTAATAAATAAATAAATAAAAACAAAACAAGAATACTAATCTACAAATAATTTATTGCAAAAATTAATTAAACAATATAATTAATATAATAATAATAATAAAATCCATCATTAAGCTTGTTTTTATTTGAAATTGACCAACAATTTATCTAATCGCCCAGCCAAGTCTGTGACACGTGAATCAACAACATCAATGTTTTGTTGAATTGCTTTATCATTTATTTCAAATGATTTCTCAAGCTAAATTATATATAAATATATACATATTAGATTTGATTATCAATTAGAAATCAATTATAAAAAAAGTACACAAAAAAACTTCAAACCTTTTCTGCAACACCATCTAAACTCTTCAATTCTTCACTGATCTTATTTTGTTCACTGGTTAACATTTTAATTGTTTCACTGAATACTGAAGCTTCTTGATGTAATTGTTGTAAAGATTTCAAACGATTAACCAAAGCTGGTGCAATTGACATAAGAGGGTCTACTTTGTCCAAAAGTGTAAAAAGATAGTTTATCTATATATATATATAATTAATTTATTAATAATTACCTAGTAACAAATATATTAAAATTAAAATTATTAATAAAATAAGCACCTTCTCTTCAGTTTCAAATGGAATGACACCACCATTTGAAAGTTCTTTATTCTTCAATTCATTAACTTTCTCCAGTTCACCAACCAAAGTCTTAGCTTTTCTGGAAATAGATTCCAAATGACGTGGTTGTGCCAATATTTGCATATGTTGATCAAGTTTATCAATGGCAGCAATTAAATTGGTATTTGTTATAGAGATTGACTATATTGCATTAATATATTATTATAATGATGATGTTATTAAATGAATTAATTCATAAATAAATATATTATTTATTAATAAGAACATACAAGATCCTCAAAATTTTGTCCATGAGCTGTACCAACAAGTTTTTCTAAAGCAGCAATACGATCATCAAGTTCAACTGTCTTGGCTAAAGTATGAACTCTTGCAGTCTCAGGTGTATAATATAATTCATATGTGATCATCTAATTTATTCATAGTAATAATAATAATTAATCAATTAATCGATTAATATACATTAATAATAATAATAATAATATTATCATCATCATCAAATAAAAAATATCCCTACATTTTTTGTAATTGCGTCATCTAGATTGTGGCCATTAGTTTCAGTTGCAGTTGATGCATCTTTATCTTTTGAAATTCCATTTTCCTTGGGAACACCCGAGTGTTTGAAAGATTGTAATTGATTAATTAATTTTTTACTCAGTTCAGCTTGTTTTATTATTGTCCCTTCCTTTTCATCTATAGAGTCTTGTTCACCTATATTTTGAGATAATCGACTAAGATCCTTCTGTAAACTGGATAATTGTTCAACCATAGCACTGTGAAGAGGTTTTTTAGGTTTTGATTCGTCATCCTATTGATATATATTTGTTAGAAAGAATGATCAAGTAAGTGACGATGGTTCATGTAATGATGTACACAGTGAAACTCGATTTAGCGGATTTCGATTTAGCGGATGTCTAATAAAAATCTCGATTTAACGGACTGAGGCTCAGAACTGGGCTGCATTTTTATATAGTAAATTTTCTCGATATAACGGATGTACTAATTAAATCTTGATTTAACGGATTTTTGAAAAATTTTCACCAAGTGGCCAAATTTATCCGCTAAATCGAGTTTCACTGTGTATATATAATCAATCAATCAATTGTTAATTGTATTATTATTTATTTTACTACCTTATCTTTTTCCAATTCTTCTTCAAGCTCTTGAGCTTCAAAAATCAATCTTCTCAATTTTTGTACAGAAGTTTCTTGCAATGTTGGTTCCTTAGAGATGTATTCATATTCATTTGTATCTAAAACAGGACGTTTAACATAAACTTTGTACATGTTTTTTTTACGACGAGCTATACTATCAGAGAAATCTAAAATATAAATAACATGTATACATATAATATAATTAATGAAACAGTGATGAATATTTTTTATATTCATTTTCATATTCACACACACATATATATATAATATACCAGTTTCAGAAGCATCAATGACACTGTCTTTAAACTTATCAACAGCTTCACCTACAGAAATTTTTTCTTTGACAATATTTTCATTTGGTTCTTCAAGGTCAAGGTAATTCTAATAAAAAAAGATATTCCAGAATTTTTTGAATTTTTATTTTAAAGCAACACAACAGCAAAATCTATAATAACAGTAATAGTAAATTATTTACCCCACCGTCTACAGTGTCATTTTCTTCGGGTGTATCAGGAGATTCATAAACGTCTGGTTGTGTGTCCTAAATAGCATTCATTAGCTTTTATCATTGCAAATAAATAAAAAATATTTGTTCAAAGAAAATAACCCACAAATGAGAACTTACAATATCTGGAAGATTAATATATTTACTTTGAGACATTTTTTAACAAATAAAAGCGTAATAATGAGCTAAAAATTTAAATAAACTTCCTTGATTAATTGTTAATTAATTAATTAATAAGATGCAAAAGATAAAAAGATGAGCATACTTTAAAAAAATAATGTGATTTTTCCTACTTTGGATGGACAGGCAAATGATTTTCACAATTTTTTAATTAAAAAATTTTTTTATTGCACGAGTATACTCGTCCTAAAAAGGAGTAAAGGCTGAAAAACCAAATTACCGCAATACCCATTTTTGAGCTGAACGGCAATTCGGTTATATAGAAAAGAAAGGCAAGAATATACATTAATTGTTGTAATTTTATTTTAATGAGAAAAGTTACATTTAACAAAAATTTTATCAACATTTTATTATTAAAACTTGGTAAATAATAATAATGAATGAGAAAGGAAACACCTTAACGTTAAGAGCAAGCCTCGTTGTGTTATGAATTTCTCTCAATATATATTATATGATTGTATTTGGTTGCAATTATCAGAATAACCATCCTTCATTATTATTTTCTTACAAGTTTCTCTTGAATAACCTTTGACTTGTTGCGCAAGACATATCCTAGTGATTCAATATGACTTTAAACACCAAAAACCTTCAAGAATTAATTGACAAGCCATCTTCTATCCAAAATCTTATTATGAGCTCAACTAAAGATGGGAACTACAAATAGCTGCAATTCGATTTTTTATATGTCACAATTAATTGAGGAGCTATCTTTAAACTCAACTTCATTGAAAAATTTTACAGAAAAAACAGCCCATTTCTGTACAGGATTTTTTATATGGGTTGGGGCTGTTAAATGAGATATTAACTTACACTTGAAAAAGTCATCAAGAAAATGCCCAACGAAGCAGATTAGAAGATATCCGCTTCAAAGTGAATAGATCGTTAGATATGCAATTAAAATTTAAATTGATAATGATTTTTGAAAGTCATGTGATAGATAAGGCTTAAATTTAAATTTGATGTTGTTACTGTTTATTTTATTTATTACCAATAAAATTCTCCGATAAAAATGCATGCTTATTATTACGATGACAACGATGGTTCAGACCCAAAAGAACCTCATGAAAAAAATCCACTTACCATTGTTACCCCTGAAGAACTTGCACATGTTGGTGTTTCATACTTACATATAGAAGGAGAGGATTTTCTTGATAAAATTGAAAAAATATCTGAGGAAAGACGTTATAAAAATCGTGATGAAGTAATGATTTGATTTTTTTTTGGGGGGAGAATAATTTTACTATATTTAAATATATATATTTATGTATAAATAAATAGATTGTAGTCTCGAAAGAAGCATTAGGTGATATGTATGATAATAAAATGAAAATTTTTTTTGAAGAGTAAGTAAATGGATAGTTAATTAATTTTTTTATTTTATAAATACTAATTATAATTATTATGTTAATTAGACATCTTCATGAAGATGAAGAAATTCGTTATGTTCTTGATGGTTCTGGGTATTTTGATGTTCGAGGTATGTATATATATCTTTGAAATGTGGAAATATCCTTTTTTACATAATTTTACAAATATTTATGTTGATTTAGATTTGCAAGACAAATGGATTCGTATTGCAGTCACTAAAGGAGATTTGATTATTTTGGTAATTAATAAATTAAAATATATTATTTAACATACACACACACGCACACACATATATATGATTAATGAATTAATAAATCAATTCATTCACTTTTTTATATGAAGCCTGCAGGAATTTATCATCGTTTTACAACTGACACCAACGATTACATAAAGGCTATGCGTAAGTATTTTATTATTATTCACAATTACTATTATAAAAAATGTTTATTTAATTATTAATAATATGTTTTTAGGTTTATTTAAAGAGGTAATCTTTTCATTAATATTACAAATGATTAAAAAAAATATATAATTTAACAACAAATTTATAATTTATTACAAGGAACCAAAATGGACACCAATTAATCGTAAGTTATTTCATTCATTTTCATAAAAAAAGAATCATTAATTCATATTTACATGTATGTATATATATATATTGGTATTTATAGGTCCAGCCGATGATAATAATTTTCGTAAAGATTATTTAAAATCAATTCAAAACTTTGGATCGTATAAATAAAGGATTATTTATTATTTTAAAAAGGTTATAATAAATTATAAATTTATTTTTGTATGTACATAATATTTATGCGAGTATGTGTGATTTTTATCATCTATTTTTTTTTCCTATACTGCAACAAAGCAAACATGAACCTCTGCAAAAAGAAAATCCTTCGCTGCGGTCATATGAACTCTACATCATTTTCAAATGATTTCTGAAATAAGCCATACCAATTCTCAACATATTGACATAGGTTTTTTGGCAGAGAAAATCTGATATGATTTCAACAGTAGAAAGTTCTGTTATTGATGCGAGTTCTCTCTTTCTAGTATCTATCCATTGCTACGAGTTGCTGGGCCATTAAAAAGGTGTCTTGTTCTGGCTTGAAAAAGGCTTGAAATGATCCATACAATTCTACCAACTCATTCTTTGGAACAATTGATGCTAATTACTCCAATCGTCTATCCTATCTGGTGGATATTGAATAATTAAAAGAAAGGACGGGAAAAAATTAATTTGGTAATACAATTATGGTATCTGGCTTTGTTGCAACACACCCATATAATTGATTTTTTGAAAGCAAGTGATTACGGTTGTTCCAAAAGTGTAAATTCGATAAAGATTTAGTTTTCTCCCTTCCAGCTTGTTTTCACTTTGTTGATGAGATCTTTTTTTTGTATAAAATTCTTGTAACTGTCTTTAACGCAAAGAAAAAATAAAACATTTTCCGTGTCACGATCTCCTTCCAAAATCCGCAAGTCATGCGACTTTCGTGCAGGTTTTTTGTCGATTGTCTCTTTTTACGTATTAGTATAGCCTGTTGGTGTATTCCTGCGTCCTGCCATCTTGTCTCAATTAGTTATGCTTACTGGGAAATATTTCTCACTTTTTTGTTTTTTTTAATAAAAAAAAGACTGATACGAACAACGCTAATTCCTTGTGGAAGAGGATAGAGGACCAAAAAATGTTAGGACATACTTCATGTAAGAATCGAAGTCCAATTCTTTAATTTAACAACATTTTCTAATTCTTTTATTATAGTTCAATTAATCATTTTTTTGCACATCTTGATTTATAGCATCATCATCATCAGCATCATGTATAATAGAAAAGAAGCGAAAAGCCACTGATGCTTCTGTCATTCCTCCAAAGAAGCAACACATAACCTTGGAATCCTTCTTTCCTGGGGTTGATGTTCCCTTACGAGAAAACAAATCTATAGACATCTTAGGCATAGTAAAACAAGCCTTCTGTTCCTTTGATCAAAATACTATTGCCCAAGGGTCATCTCGTGCATATAAAAGTTCTAATAATTTGCTGGTGGATTCGGAGCCCAATGTGAGAGTCCTAAAAGAAAGTGTTTACGATGCCGAGATGTACCGGATCCTCCTTAATCAGCTTGCTAAAGTATATCATTATGAAATTACGGGACAGTGGCACTTATTCATTTGATAGATCTAGAAAAAGATATGGGAGGAAAACGTTTAAAAAGGGTAGTACATGGATATTAACAAATCTAATAATATTTTTTATATCACAAATTATTTACTCAAACATGCCTACCGAATTATTTAACAAGATTTACAACTGCTGAAGAACGTTAAGTAAATGCTACATCGATTGTTTACTTTGGAATGAAAGAAAACCGTTTGATTCCACAAAATAAATTAAGATCCATTATAAACCAAGCTATAGCTTCTGCCAGCAATGTATACACGGAAGGTTCTCCACGCCAATTAAGAATTTTACGAATTTCTACTCAGGTTAGTTAAAGTTTTATATACACATTTCAGATTTTATTATATGATGATATGATGTGATCTACTCATAAAGTGAATGCTGAATAAACAAGCTATATGATAATTTGTTGTTTATATTTTTTCTTGCCCACTCAATAGGTCCCCAATAATACTCGTATATAAGTTATAGACTGTTATTAATATACAGTGTGTTAAGAAAAAAACAGCGGTGACAAAAAACTGCATACTTTAACAATTATGAAAAATAAATAAATAAATTTAGGTTTATTCAAAAGCTTATAAGCT